CAGCATAAAGCTAAAAAATGATGTTCGTGAAACAATCTACAGGCTATAAACAGACCACAAGACATCTTTAAAAAAAGAATAAGTCCCACAGTTAAAAACCTGGGATTAAAGAAATGTTTTGGCCTGACTCCTAAAAGACAGTAAGGTAGGCATCAGGTGAGCCTCAAGAGGGAGAGCATTCCAGAGTCAAGGTGCCACCGCTGAAAAACCTTGCTCGTCCAAGGAAACCCGAATCTACATGATGGAAACCTGAAGGGGGTTATGCTTGGCAAACAAGAATTTGCTGGTGGTCCCCCAGTCTGAGAGACATCCAGCTATCCTTGACCAGGGCCAGGCTGTTCTCAGCCCTGGCCCCAACCTGGTGGAACTCTCTGCTGGAATGACATCCGTGCCCTGCGGGATTTAATACAGTTCGACAGGGCATGTAAGGCAGAGATGCTCAGCCAGGCGTTTGGTTGAGGACAGCAACGGTCTTCCATCTGACGGGCACTCCTGCTTCCCCTGCCTCCAAAGTAAATCTCCACACACGTTTCCAAGGAAGCGTTATGCTTTATTAGATTACGAAACTGGTACTATATCCACAGGATTGTTGTTAGGAATGACCATGGGGCGGAAACACCCTTACATATAGCAGGATGAGGCAAATGGCTAAGCAAATGAAATTCGAGTGCGCGCGCGGGAATTCTCCCGGCGGGAGGATACATGATAAGCAGGAGAGTCGCAGTGCCTCATGAGAGCCGAAAGATTCACACCAGCAGTGGAACGCAAGCCCTCCCTCCTTCACAAGGCCAGACAGATAACGCCGTCTGGCAGTACCGGCTCTCACGGTCTCCCTAGCAATGTTTACTGCAAGCGGCAGAGCAGCGAGCAAGCCAGGATCAGAGAAGGGAACAAGCAAAACATGGCAGCTAGCTGACACCCCCCCCCCCCTCCGGCAGTGGCATACTTTGGCAGTTTCATCACCATCTTACTGGTTATTTGTGCGGTGTTTTTATGATTTTTAACTTTTAACTATTATTATGTAAAGTCTTCTTGATGTACACCGCTCTGAGCCCTGTCCCACGGGGGAGGGCAGTTTTTTAAAAAATTGAATGAGTAAACAAATAAGTCTGTCCTTGCAAACTTCCACAGAATTCATTTATTCTCAAAATTTAGCAATGGATGGATTTAGCTAACATGGTGACGCCTCCATGGCTAATTTATTCTTTACATGACACTTATTTAAAAAAACATCCTGGCCCATCACAGATGCATGGCAAGACCATCACCAATCGGTTCAACTAGATTTTACGCTTTCTCAGCACACCCAGGTACACCCCTGCCACACATCTGAGACAGACCTCAGTGTTCAATAACATAATCATTACACAACAACAATAAAAGCCTGCCAGCTGGTTATCTGAATCTATGAATTAAATACAATCAAGCAGAGCCCATGCTCAGTTTCAAAGGTGAACCCTGCATTTTGCACAGAAATGACTATAAGGTTCTTATCTAGAACACAGCTCAGTGCCAGGTTGCAATCCTAGACACAATTACCCAAAGGCATGACAATTCCTGACATGACAGCAACAGACTCATATCAGACTCTGGTTGCCAAAGAATCCTTATAAAAGCAGGGGTGAGCATGAGGGATATGCAGAATCCTTCTCCTAAACACGTCCCGTCCCCACTAATAATACTCATCTAATTTCCTTCTGTGATGCTCCCAAAAAGTTGGAGAAAAAGAGCGTGGGAAAGGTTTGACATCTTCTCCTGCCTGCTCTGGGTTTTGAACCCTTCACCCTTCAGCATTATTGGAGTTGAGATATGTCACTGTCCTGTCTAACTGAACTTCAATATTCCCCTTAGTGAAACACAGAATTGAGCTATGAAACAGACATAATTTGTTCACCAAGATACAGAGACCTCTCTTCTGCCACTCAAAATAGAAGCAAACACACACATATGGAATGAGGAACCGGGGCTGGCTCTACAATAAAGGCACCCAAGCCATGGTATGCGGGGGCACAATGAGGATAGTGATGCCCTGCAATGGCACAGCTCACTCCCAACCAGTGTTCCCTCTAAGCTGAGTTAGTGTGAGCTAGCTCACAGTTGTTTAGCTTCTGGCTCACACATTTCTGTCTTAGCTCAGGAAGGATGGCTCCAGAGCAAACTAATTTATGCAGTAGCCAAATCGCTCACTCACAACTTTAATGCCCGTAGCTCACAAAATAGAATTTTTGCTCACAAGACTCCACAGCTTAGAAGGAGCATTGCCATTAGCAGCCCAGAAGAAACAGGCATCACTTTTTGGTGCTGCCACAGGGGCTCAGCTTGGAGTGGGCTTGCAGCCGCTTACGGTTATTTAACAATGTGATGACCCAGTGGTCTTGGACAGAACCAATCCCACAAATACCACCTTCTATTTCCATCCTCACATAGAAGCCACTGGTGTCAAAAATTTAGCCACAGCCAAAGTAATACCAAAATCAGTAACAGCTAGCAGGGAAGACATAGAACCAAGAGAAACATCAGAAACTATCATGGTCTGTATCCAAAGAGGCTTCCAATGCAAAGCAAAGAAAGTATGGAATGAAGTTTCTGTCACCCTAGACCCACATGCACATAGTCTAGCCAAGCAGGGTGCTCCTTGGAATCTACTCACAAAAACAGCATAGGGAAAAACATTTAGCCTAGCCAAGAGAAAAGCCCACTGATATCTGGAGACAAGTCAATCACAATGAAAATAAAAAGGAATGGTGGTGGAGGGTGACATTATATAGCATAGAGCATACTCTGTGAGCCCTCCCAAGAGTCAAATGATGGTTTGCTCCAGTGCTCTATATAAAGATAATCTAGCAACCTGTGGGCCAATAGACAAGAGAAATGGAGGGAACAGTCCCCAAAAAGAAAAGTAAGCTTCAAGACTGGACTGCCAATGCAAATCTGAATGTAAAAGAAAACTACCAGTATCCTCAGAAAACAAGACATTCAAATAAAACTAAAAAGCCAGCGTCCAAGCTTGGCATTTCACTGATCCTGAGCCCAGATCCAGTCAAATAACCACAGAGGCAACACAGTGAGAAACTCATTTGATCTTCCAAATAAAAAAACTCAAAAGGTTGATCAACAGACCTATCAACTCCAGTAATCCAAACTACCCTATATACAGTCCGGACTTACTGCTGCAGAAGTAAGGGGGGGGGGGGGGGGGGGGAGAGAACAATAAATAGCTGCTGAGGAACCAGTCACTGAAAGCAGGGCACGCTTCTTCTGAGCTTTCCATGAGAGAGAAGCATGAAAAAGAAAAAGAATACTTAGACAACGGAACTGAGGCACCTGCTCAATTGGACAATTATCCAACTTCCAGGAGAGTTGCTTTGTCTGAGATGTCCAAAAATGTAACTCTAGATTTTTCACAATTACCAAACCCTCTCCAATGCAATAGTTCTTAAACATCTTTATGAACCTAAACAGCAATCTAGAAAAAAAGGCTAGTGTTATCTGCATACAGTAACAGTGTCCGACTGGTAGTTAGAACCAGGGCATGGGGATTCAATGCTGATAAGGCTCCTGAGAAATCATTCACATTGAGATTAAATAGAAGGGGGCCCAACAAGTCACCCTGCTTCACTAAACAGGTCAGAGAGATTTCGTTTCTCAATTGCCTCTCAAGGCCAATATGAACATGAGTAGTGGGATTATAATACAGTTGCTGAATTGCTGAATATAAAAACCTGTGCTTGTTGGAAGACACATAGAATTTGGCTCACAGATGTTCTCTAGAGTCAAACATGACCTTTAAATCCATAAAGTTTTCACACAGAACACCCTTTTGGGGGGGACTGGGATTGCAGCAGTATGGAAGGATGCAACGCTGTAACTTTCTTGGGGCAACAAAATTCTATGGATTGAATCTACAGGGTACAAGGACCAAACATACATGGAATAGGGAACCAGAGCCAGTTCTCTGGCCATGCCCACTCAAACAACCACTTTGAGTGGCATACTGAGGGCATTGATGCAATGCAAAGGCTCAGCTCACTTCCAGCCATCAGAAGCACAGGAGAAAATCAGCATCACATAGAGGCCCTGCTCAGGCATTTCTACGCCTGCTTTCATACAGCAATTTTTTTTCATATAGCTCTTGTTGGTGCTGCTGCAAATGCCAAGGCATTCACAGCAGCAACAGTCTCCGTATTACTTTATTCCCAGTTCTTGTTCTTTTTTTAAAAAAGAAGTCTAGCTTTTTTTGCTGTGGTGGCATTAGTGGAAAAATGTAGATATACAATGAAAAGGGCTAGAAACTTTTTAAAAATGCAAACTGCAAATTCAGAAGAAGCAGTAGATCACTGTGATCATTATACTGTTATAGTGATCTACCAATTGCTGATTTTTTTTAAAGCCCCAAGTCAGCCCTTTGGCAGTGCAGCAGGTGTGAGAGGCTCAGGGAAGGAAAATAACAACTATGCAAACAGGGCCTTGGGGAAATGTGCACCTTCCTTGTCCAGACCACCTAACAACATGTTTGCCCTGGGCTCTCCCCAAACCAATCCGAGAAAAATAGGATCAGGAAAGAACACACCTAGGATGGGGCACAATTAGATCATGATGCTGTGCAAATGCTCCTCCCTCCCTCCCTCCCTCCCAAAAGTGTTGCACTTTGGTAGTCAGGAGATAAACACCACTGTGGATGGAAGCAGCCAGACTGACGTTCATTTGGAAAAAGTGTACCTGTTACTCATCCACATCGCATGCCTTGGTACACGTTTTAGATTTCTCAGTGATACATCTACCAGCCTTACCCTAAGTATGTTTTCTCGGGGAGTTTAATAGGACTCCTTCGTCAATGCTTTTATTTGTACACAGTTCCCCCCCCCAGCTCGCTCGACCCTCCTCAGCCGCATTGCGCGCTTCCCACAGCCGACGCCATTTTGGTTCGAGAGGGAAAAAACCGGCAAGCGCCGCTACCAGGAAAAGGAAATGTGACGGTCGCGGGGAGCGAATGGAGGCGCGGGCTGTACCATTAGCGCATCTGAGAGGAGGGTAAGACTTTGAGGAGGAGCAGCACATCCGCTCATTGAGGCGATTAAGTTTATGCTTCACCGCGTACAGCGTGAATGACGCAAAAGGTGAGAGGCAGAAGAAAACAAAAACCTTATTTTGTTCTTTCTTTCCCCTCCCGCACGTTTTGATTAATGGTTCCTCCCGACTTAGTAGCTCTTAGGTCCGCCGCTTGTATTTTTTTTTGGTAGTACCCTTGGCTGAGAGGTGGGCTGCGTTTGGGGATGCGGGTCTAGGCCTTGACAGGTAAGGATTATAGGGAGAAAAGAGCAAACGAAATCGAAGAGGGGTAGGGGTAGGGGCGGCGGCAGCAATATAGCTAAGGGTTTTTTTAAAACGTGAAATCGGCCTTCAGTGTTAAATACATGAAGCCAAAGCAAGAGTTATGCTGGATCCGAGGCGTGCAATTAATCCAGTATCCCGGTAGCCGACCAAATGCCTCAGGAAGCTCATAAAACTCCTCAGTTACTGGTTTTTGAAGGTCCACTATTTCTGAATATGGATGCCCTATTTAGCCATTGGGTCATCTTTAGTCTCCATGAATTGGTCACGTGAAGCCGTCTACACAGGCAGTCCGCCAGTCTGTCAAGGTCAATATTGTCTGCTCTGATTGGCAGCGGCTGTTAAGTGTTTTTCAGGTAGAGGACGTTCCATCGCCTACTGCCTGATATTTTCAATTGGAAATGTTGGGGGTTGAACCTGAGATATTCTGTATGCCAAGTTGCTGTACACTAAAGTTCGTTCCCCAAGGCCTGTTATCTAAACCCTACACTTTCTAAATTCCATGATGTAGCAGGAAATGACCCCTGATGTACCCTAATAAATGGGAGTCTTGTAGCACAAGTTCTTATTGCAGTGTAAACTTTTGTGGACTAGAGCTCACTTTGTCAGGTATATGTCGTAGAGGAGACATTACATGCAACTGGTGATATGGGATCTATGGTGTAAAAACTACTGCTAAAATAAAATATTGGTTGTCTTTAAGGTCTGATGAGACTCCTGTAAAAGCCTAATTTGGTTGCTTTTTCAGAATCTGTATTGTGAAACAGTTGATGCAGATTAACTTGGTTTTATAATCGCACTTTAGATTTGCTTTATTTCCAGCTTTCTTTTCTACCCATATATGCCAATCTCGCTCTTCATTCTGGTTTAATGTTCTATCCTGTGCAACATTGTTGTTGTTAGCCATTCAGTCGTGTTCGATTCATGGTGATTCTATGGGCCAGCTCTCTCCACATTTTCCAATCTTATACTGTTTCTTTGAGTTGTTCCATGCTCAGGCTGATGTCAACTTTTATGATGTCTAGCCATTGTGTTCCTTTGTGGCCAGGTTTCCTTTTGCTACTATAAGGAAGGCCGAGCGCCGAAGAATAGATTCTTTTGAACTATGGTGCTGGAGGAGACTCTTGAGAGTCCCTTGGACTGCAAGAAGAACAAATCAGTCAATCCTCAAAGAAATCAACCCTGACTGTTCCCTGGAAGGCCAGATAATGAAACTGAAGCTCAAATACTTTGGCCACCAAATGAGAAGGGAGCACTCACTGGAGAAGACCCTGATGCTTGGAAAGATTGAAGGTCAAAGAAGACGGGGACGGCAAAGGATGAGATGGTTAGACAGTGTCATCGATGCAACGAACATGAAGTTGAGCCACCTTCAGAGGACGGCAGAAGACCGGAAGGCCTGGAGAGAGCTCGTCCATGGGGTCGCGAAGAGTCGGACTCGACTGTGCGACTGAACAACAACAACAATTCTGCATAAGATAGGACTATGTGAGATTTCTGTAAGGACCCAGGTGCTTCTCATTAGTGTTTAGCAGGCAGTTGGCATTAAATATGTTCTAGTCGTGTTCTCTGTATTTGAAGGAACCATTGATTATTCTAATTTAAACCTTAAATGTTATTCACCATAGTAGTAGTGTTTATTGTTACGGTCAGTAACCAGAGTTTTTAAACAACAAACAATTAACAATATACCTGAATACACAGTCCATAGAATTGTATGGAATGACTGTACATAATATGGTAGCTGTATTTCAGCCTGGAAGCAGGGAGGAAATAAAATGTACCCTGCTAGCATTCTTTAAATACTTCATGAGTCCAAAGCAGTGGTAAAAGTATTTTGGGGTAACTAAACCATGTCATATCATCATCTTGTTCTTACTAATACGTTGTCTGTTTTGTTTTGCTGTTTAGCCAATGTAAATTTCTACACAGCATCCAGTCTGTGCTTTATCCTACAACACCTGGTACGTATCAGAGGCAGAGCTAACATACTTTTCTCGTGGCTTGTATTTATTGTTTTAAGTTGTCATACAGCCTTTCAGAAAATGGTCATTAGTACTTTAGAAGAAGAAGAAAAGAGATTGGATTTATACCCTGCCCTTCACTACCCAAAGGTGTCTCAGAGCGGCTTACAAACTCCTTTCCCTTCCCCTCCCCTCAACAGACACCCTGTGAGGTGGGTGGGGCTGAGAGAACTCTGACACAAACTGCTCTTTTTTCAAGGACAGCTGTGCCAGAGCTTGTGACTGACCCAAGGTCATATCAGCAGGTGCAAGTGGAGGAGTGGGGAATCAAACCCGGTTCTCCCAGATTAGAGGCCGCACACTTAACCACTATACCAAACTGGCTCTCTTTACGGGTTATGGTTCTCTTGGTGTTGCCCCTGAATTCCCTGTTTTATTTATGTATTTAGACTCTGTATATTTAAAATATCAACCTGAATTCACTGCAGCAGTGCAGCCCTGTAACTTTGTAGAAATAATATTTCCCCATTAGTTGAAAAATCTGATAATGTAATTATTTTAGATGTTGCTGAGCTTTTTTGATCCATGTGATAATACTATGGTCTAGAGAAAATTTGCCTGTTGTTTCTTAAAACATCTCCATTAAGTGTGTGCTCTGATCATCTTCTGAATGTGCAGAGAGTGTGGCTCTCTTATTAGGGCATACAGTATAAAACTATTTCAGTTGGCATTATGAAGCGGTTCATATAAATACGACTTCTTCAGCAAACAGAAAGTTTTGACAAAAGTATCCTTTTAAGGTAGAAGTTCATAATATAGTTGATTTGATTTTGAACTACATGTGGACACCTAACGGAGGGTTGCTGTTACAGCTGTTACATGTGTGAGTTACCTTATACACTTGCCCCACAAATTGCTTTCAGTGCAGAAATATTTTTAATGTCTAGAGGCCAACCCCAATCTGTTTTCTCAGAAATAAATCCCATTGAATTCACTGGGGTTTACACCCATGTGCATGGGATTGAAGGCATAAAGGCATCTTGAATGTTAAGGACGTTTTCTCCAATAGTGAATACAGTACTGCTGAGTAACTAATTTTGAAGGGCTCATAATTTTCGCCTGTTAGGCTTGAAGGACCAGTTACATTAGCTGTACTAATTGGGTTGGATCCTGTAGAAAAGATCCATGCGTACAAAGTGGAGGAAGTGTGATTTTTGCTGATTCCTCCTTTTCATAGCAGCTCTCCATCTGCCCCCTTATGCTGCTCCTGGGGGGGGGGTGTCTTCCATCTTTCAGGAGCAGCATTTGGGGAGGCATTTCAGGCTGCTATGGGAATGGAAGCTAAGGAAGTATTGCCTCTGTGCACAGACTTAAACTTTGTGCAAGCCAAGACCTGGCAAAGGGCTCTTTAATCTCTTCCTGCAGTGTGAACAGCGCTGTGGAAGATGGAGGCCTTCCTTTAGGTATTTCAGCTGCTCATTATTTTCTTTATGATGGGAGTATGCCTTCTATTGACCTCTCAGTGGGACAGGAAATGGCTGAGGGCATCATGGTACCAATTCATGGGAAAGGGAGTGATGCTTGTGACTGGCAGCTGCTAGAGCAGGAATCTCCAACATGGTGCCCATAGATGTGTTTTTGTGTCCATTTCTTCCTTCCTCCAAAGCATATTTTTCCTAAAGCAAAAGCCAGTCCTGGCTTGCCGTCACCTCATTGGAGCAGGATGTGCACAGAGTAGCCCAAGAGGCAACCACTGAAAAACAGCTGCCTCCATCTTAGGAAGATACTTTGTTTGAAACCTCTCTACATATTGTGATTAGCCTTAGGCTCAATAGAAGTCATTTTGTGACTGGCTGGGCCCTGCCCCCATATCCACTATTTTGTGGTGACTCCCACTAACTGTTCTCAGAATTCTAAAAGTGCCCACAGGCTCAACAGTATTGGGGATCCCCTACACTGCAGGGTGCGTTTCCTCCTCAGGTTCCAATTGCCTAAGCCTAGCATATAGTTTACCATAGTTCTGTTCATTGGGTGCCTTATTGAAAGCTACAGGAATTTGTTTAGAGTCTGCTATAGATCTTCTGTGCTCAGATGCCCAAGTATTCAGAACACTTGCAGCCCAAACCTGCAATGATTAATTTGGTAAGTCCAGTTTTGCTCAATGGGACCTATTCCCAAGTAAATACATTTAAAACCAGAGTTTTGGGAAAAGGAGCTTTATGATCGCAAGAGATTCTAGTCCAGAGCTGGGCAAATTATGGTTTGGAGCCAATCTGGTCCATGAGCGATTTTTATCCACCCCTCAAATTGCTTAACAATGGTCAGGGACATTAGCTCTGTCCCAAAAGAACTTCAAGGACTAACCACCATTAAGAGCTACTGACAGCAGCAGAGTGGAAAAGAAGACCCCACATCCAGTTCTTCAGCAACACTGGAAGCAGGAAGAGCTGCTGAAGCGGGTGGAGACTCAGAGGTGGCCTTTTGGCCAACATTTTCCCCACCCCTTCTTAGTTATTTAATCATAAGTTTTCTGCATGATGGAAATTACAAGTGACTGAATCCTTTTGTATGCATGCAAGGGCTTTTGTTTGAAGCAGCCTTTTAAAATATTTATTAATTTCTCCGATCCTCTTTTCTCTTAGTAATTATGGTGAATGTCATCCATTTTGTGCGAGAATGGTGGCCCGTGACCTTGGTCCCCATAGGCTTTATGGTGGGATGGTACTTTGACAGAAAGAATGACGAGAAGCTGACAACTTTCAGGAACAAGAGCAAATTGTTTCAAAGGTTAGTTACCTGGGATAGCCTCATAGCTGAACAAACAATACTATTTGCAGCTATCTTTGAAATAAAGAACTACTACTTTCTGATACATAGAATATATATCATTCTGGGTTAAGGCTGCCAAATCCCCCTGGGGGGCGGATTCCCCCCCCCGCTTTGGAGGCCCAATTTCCGCCCCCACGGAATCGGGCCCTGGGGGAAACCCCACCCCCGCGTGCACGTCACTTCCCTGTGACGTCATGACGCCGGGCACACTGGGGGCGGGGCACAGCCATTTGAGGGGAGCGAACCCAAAGTCCCCCGCCGGCAGGTAAGTCCGGACTTGGCAACCCTATTCTGGGTGTGTGTGGGTGTTGTAGGGGGTAGTGATTTGAATGCTGGGCTTTGCAGAAACTGAACTTCTGATCCTCCCTCTGCCTTCACGTTCACTGGGTGACCATTTCTGACTGTCAGCCTAACCTGCCTGACAGGGTTGTTGTGAGGATAAAATGGAGAAGGGAAGAGTCATGTATGCCCTCTTATGCCCCTTGGAGGAAGGAAGATGTAAAAATATAGATGGACAGGAAAGGGTGAATTTAACTCAGAAGACTATTATATCTACCAAAGTATGGCTGCAGAAGTTGGACTATAAGGAAGGCTGAGCGCTGAATAATAGATTCTTTTAAACTATGTTGCTGGAGAAGACTCTTGAGAGTCCCTTGGACTGCAAGGAGATCAAATCAGTCAATCCTAAAAGAAATCAACCCTGACTGTTCCCTGGAAGGCCAGATCCTGAAGTTGAAGCTCAAATACTTTGGCCACCAAATGAGAAGGGAGAACTCACTGGAGAAGACCCTGATGCTGGGAAAGATTGAAGGTCAAAGAAAACGGGGACGGCAAAGGATGAGATGGTTAGACAGTGTCATCGATGCAACGAACATGAAATTGAGCAAGCTTCTGAGGACAGCGGAAGACAGGAGGGCCTGGCGTGATTTGGTCCATGGGGTCGCGAAGAGTCGGACTCAATTGTGCGACTGAACAACAACAACCATGTGCATGCCAATATGGTATAATGAACAGTTTATATTAGAGAAAGGTTGAGAGCGAGCAATGGGCTTGAGTTCACCTAGCAAACTTCTATAGGAAAGTGAGGATTTGAACCTGGGTCTCCTATATCCTAAGGAGCTGCGGTGGCTCAAGTGGTTAAGACGCTGAACTGCAGGCTGTGGAAGGTCAGTAGTTCAGCAGTTCAAGACCCGGGTTACCGCATGACGGAGTGAGCTCCCGTCTCGGGCTCCAGCTCCTGCCAACCTAGCAGTTCGAAAGCAAGAAATTGCAAGTAGATAAATAGGTACCACTTCGGTGGGAAGGTAACAGCGTTCCGTGCGCCTTAGTATTTAGTCATGCTGGCCATATGACCACAGAAATGTCTTCAGACAGCGCTGGCTCTTCGGCTTTGAAACGGAGATGAGCACCGCAACCCTAGAGTCGGACTCAACTGCCTTTCAAGCAAGGGAACCTTTACCTTTACTCCTACATCCTAGGCTGACACTCTTAACTCCTATGCCATACTGATTACAGAAAGCCCAAGAACAGTATTTTTTAACCATTCAGAGGCATTCTTAACTCATATAAGTTCTGAATTATGAATTGCTTTGAATGTTGTTGGGCAAATAAGTATAGAAGTTTATAAATAAGAGCTGGTCTCTACATGCGTTACCAAATTCCTAAACAGAGCAAGCCTGAAATTATAAACTGTGAGTTGATCCAGTGGAAATCACTACTGGGGACCATTTTTGTCAGTTCTGCCTTCCCTACCACAGTAGACCTGTAACTTTGTGATTTTTTTATTTTTTCACAGGGAATTGAAACCTGGTGAAGAAGTTACATGGAGATAATGAATGACAGACTTATAAAGCCGTGCAATTAAACCTGTTTATTAACATAGTGATGTCTTTGCATCATCAAATAAACAAGAACTTCCCCCCCTTTTTTCTTCCTAGTGTAGAACTATTAGGTGACATTCCAGCCACAGTTAGCCACTTTATTCCAGTGAGGGTGTGATGAGCACATACAAAACTTTCCCAATGAAGCCAAAGGGACTTAAAACAAGCAAGACTGAGGTTTACTTCTGCCACTTTTATCTTCTCTTTCTTGCTCTCAGCCTTGTTTTGCTGTTGCTTTGAGTTCATGAATGGTCTCAGCACAAGTGACACTCAAAACTTCTGGAAAAATAGGTTTTAAATATTCACTTTTGTGACGTGCTGAAGAATTGCAGACTAAACCTAATCAGAAAGACTGGTCAAGTTGACCTTCATATTTATATGAATAAAAAGTACACTTTTTTCTGTGATAACTTTAATTACAATACTCTTCTATGTATCTTTCTAACAGTACTCCAGCTGGTCTCTATGGAAAGACTAAACAACTGCTGTACTGTGGGAAATAGGATTGAATTTAGTTCTGCATTCTCTGCAATTAGGCTTTTGCCAAAGAGAGGTGATACCCACGGCCAACTGGGGACCTGAAAGGTCCAGCTTTCCTTGCTGATACATACATGGTTAGTTTTTAGTGGCTTGTAATTTCTCTTCACAAATTCTGTAATTGGTTTATTTTATTTAAAACATCTCTGTGTCCGCCAGCATGGCATAGTGGTTAAGAGCAGTGGGCTCTGATCTGGAGAACGGGGTTTGATTCCCCATTCCTCTGCCTGAAGCTTGCTGGCTGACCTTGGGCCAGTCACAATTCTCTCAGCCCTACCTACCTCACAAAGGGCCTGTTGTGGGGAGAGGAAGGGAAGGAGATTGCAAACCACTTTGAGACTCCTTAAGGTAGAGTAAAGCAATGTATAAAAACCAACTCTTCTTTTTTCTCCTGAGCATCACAGGATGGCCTTTGTTTGGGACACTTCAGCAATCTTTACTACTCTTCCCTCTCAACTCCCATTTTCTTCATGCATCTCTTCAGCATCTTTTTAAAGCATGAGTCTGACATTCAGCATGGTACTTTAGAATCAGCAGACAAAATTAAGTATACTAGTATGCATTGCTTACCACAGAATTTAAGCACCTCCAGTTGTTTAGGGTGGGGTTGCAGGGTGCTCGCTTCTGACAGGAGAGTTCCACTGATGGGCATACCTTCCCACCGTTGCTCTCTGGACCAATGGGAGAAAGGTCTTGAGGCAGAAATGACGGCATGCATGGCTTCAACATCCCACTGAAAGCCCGGATGTGATGTAAGGATGTTGGGTGATGCTTTGACAGTCATGGCCAGAATTTTGCATGATGCACTTATATCACCTGGGTTCACACATCATTTTTGCCTCTGATGCTGCTCTTAAAGTTCTGCCTTTAATGCCAACAGTTTCTCTACAGGCACTTCTTTCCTTCCAGAGGCAGCTGCCTTTAGGCTTGCGAGCAGGGGTCATTTCGTAGAAAAAGAGCTGCAGGAGCTCATTATCATAACTTATTAGCATATGCCACATCCCCTGACATCACCGGAAGTGTGCACCAGCCCCTCTGACAGGCAGAAGCACCTGGGATCCATTCTTTCCCCCCTCTCCCTTCCCTTCGCCTCTAAGTCGGACGAAGGAAAAGGGGAGGGGAAGGATCTCAGGCACTTCTGCCTGACAGAGGTGCTGGCGTGCCCACAGCCAGCCTGGGTGAATTATAGAATCATAGACTCATAGAGTGGGAAAGGACCTCCAGGGTCATCTAGTCCAACCCCTTTCACAATGCAGGAAATTCATCAGTACCCCCCACACAACCCAGTGACCCCTGTTCCACGTCCAGAATATTATTTTAAAAACCTCCAGGATCACTGGGGGCCAAACTGGCCTGGAGAAAAATTGCTTCCTGGCCCCAAAGTGGCGATCAGCATTTCCCTGGGCGTGTAAGAAAGGGTCACAAGAACTAAGCACTGATGCAACCCTTCCTGCTCTACCTCTCGTGATTTGCCTAAGTTCACACAATCGGCATTATGATCCTTTTAAAGTTGAAAGCATGATATAAAGTTACACGCGAGAGGTGGAATTTGCCCCTACGACTCCAAGGCCACCAGGGAGGCAAGGGAACGTTTTTGCCCCGCCGCTCCCCCCCGCGTGGGCGTCGCAGCCGCCGCCGAGAACAGCGGCAGCGGCCATAACTTTTTAAAGAGCCTCTCCCGAGAGCTAGGGGAGCCAGAATGACCTCTCGCGACATCACATGCGAGAGGTGGATTTGCCCCTACGAGTCCAAGGCCACCACCCCGGGGTTCAGGGAGGAAAGGGAACGTTTCACCCCGCCCCCGCGCGGGCATTGCAGCTGCCACCGAGAACAGCAACAGCGGCATAACTTTTTAAAGAGCCCCTCCCGAGAGCTGGGGGAGCCAGAATGACTTGCTGCTCGGACATCACATGTGAGAGGTGGAATTTGCCCCTACGAGTCCAAGGCCACCACCCCGAGGCTCAGGGAGGCAGGAGAACGTTTCACCCCGCCCCTCGCGGGCGTCACAGCTGCCGCCGAGAACAGCAGTAGCGGTCATAAGTTTTTAAAGAGCCCCTCCCAAGAGCTGGGAGAGCCAGAATGACCTTTTGCGCGAGAGGTGGAATTTGTCCCTATGAGTCCAAGGCCACCACCTCCCCCCCCCACGGGAGTCCAAGGAACTCCCCCCCATGGTTGCCCAACTGATATCTCGTGGGAACAGGGGGTGGGGCTTATGTGCCCACCCCCTGGGCTCCTGACTGGCGGAGTGGTGCTCTGGTGCGCTCCGGCAGGAACCGAGGCCTGCTTGCAAGCCTTTTTTCTGTGTTATTTAGACATCATCCCACCCAGCAATCTGGAACCTGTGTGCACCTGAATCCTTTATATGTTGCTGCAGAGGTAAATTCCATTGTGTTCACACATTAAGGAGATGTGTGGAGAATTGCACCCTTAGCTGATTCTGACTGGCGCTTATTTCTTCTATGGTTTGACATAGGTCTGGCTGTATGAACTCATTACTTAGTCAGCTGGCGAATCCACTGGCTTCTGCTGCAATGGGAACTGCAACAGTTATATGCAAGCTTGTGCTAGGAGAATCAGGAGGCGAAAGTAATTCCAGAGGGGTAGTCCTATTCGTTGTCGCAAAAATTAAATAGAGTTGTGTGTAACTTTGAAGTCTGTTTATTGCAGCATAAACCTTTGGGGATTAGGGCCCATGTCAGAGGCAATGATGCTGTGGGCGAGGTTGGAGGAGGCACACCAAGCTCAAGGGTCCTGAAATGCAGAAAGTATACAGTAAATAATTATGTAAAATAAAAATCTAAGGAAAAATGCAGTGGCTGGACGAGGGGAGAAAGGATATATATTTTTTGCCATACATAGATATATGAGATGGTTTCAAAGTTTACTCTGAAACTTTGATTATTTTTGGCAGACACTTGAGCCTGTTTTAGTGGTGGTGATAGTTGAGCACTTGGCCTCCTACCTCTAGGGGGCAGGCTGTCATCCAATTAGCGCTATGGTGATAGGCTGATGTAAGGATGCTTCTGGCGGTGCTTTCAAGGGGCTGGATAGTTCTCTAGTCGTACTTCTGGTTGTCGATTAAAGTTGGTAGGCTTCTCAATGTAAGGGTTAGGTAGCACGTATACAGTAAATAAGTAAAAAGGATAAGCAAGGAGACGTAGAGCAGGGGGCCATGCCTCATCTCAAAATACAAATACTACGTAAATTTTACTTTCATCTTTTCTGGAACATTTCCGGTGTTTTCTTTCGTATTTTAAAAACGTGTGTGCAATGTTTGTGTACCTGTGTTATAGTAGTCTCTGACTCTTGTGACTGACCCCTACTGGGGGCCTGGAGAATATTCAGGGAGGTGGCTGAAAAAAGCTTGCTCCCGCCTCCCTACTGCTGGTATTCTAAGATCTCCCGTGCAAGTACTTGCTAGAGTCGATCCCGCTTAGCTTCACGAGATCTGAGGAAATTGGGCTTGCCTGGGCTATTCAGGTCAGGGCTATTTCTTGTGCTTTCAGATCCCCTTCATCAGTGAATTTGCTTTTTTAAAATTAGGCCTCCTTTGGAATTGATTTCTTTGTAACGCCCCCCCTCCCTTTCCTGTTGTGTGTGTGTCGGCCCGATGCTGGATTCAATCGATCAATCAAGTTCTTGGTTAAGCTTTATTCTCACAACAAGCAGAAATTCAACAGATGGAACTGCAGTGATAAAAATTTTCTGGCTGAATTTTTACTCATCATTTGGATTTTGGAAGCAGCAGTACAACTTACATGTGAAAGTTCGAGTCCAGGGGCACCTTTGTTCTTCTGCTGCTTCAAACCAACACGGCTACCCACCTGAATCTATCTTTCTTTGAGAGAGCATTCCTATGCATGCAAAAGTAGAAAATAAAGTACGCAGGCAGGGGCGGGCGAACACCGGCGTGAAGAGGCACTCCGTTGTTTCGCAGCGGAGGAGAAGAGGAGGCTAAAAAGAAGGCGTCCAATCGAAACCGGAGGTAAAGGTTGTGTGAACGGCTTAGCGTTTTATCTCTAGGCGTGTCGTTTGTTGAACTCACAGAAGGGGGGGGGACCAAGCGTCACGGGACAAAGCGGTAGCCGTGGTGATTGGCTGCGGTGGGTCATGTGGCAAAGAGGGTTTTGATTGGCTGGATCGTGGTCATGTGGCGGAGAGGCTAGTGGTGGTGGGAGACAAATAAACATGGAGGCCATCTTTCACGAGAGGGTAAGTGAGCGCATTGGAGGCTACCACTGTAGTGAGGATGTTGGGGGGCTGTTGAAGTCAAGCTGTCTAAGCGCGGGCCTGCCTGTGGAGCCAGGGAGGTCGGGGAGGAGACGGGTGGAAGGCAGGCAGACAGGCAGGAAGAGGAAGCTGGGTGTTTCGCTGGCTCCAGCCTCCTCTGGCAACTCAGGCACAGCGCTAAAAGGCCGCCTCGGAAGCTCATGAGTAGTGAAGGCGGAACAGTCAAAGGAGAAGTACTACTGTCCCTCACGGCACAGAATTAAGTCGCGCCATTCGCCGCTAATAGATGGGGAGGTGGCCATTGGGAGTAGGACCAACTTTGGTCTGACTTTGGCTGTTGGCTGCAGGTGCTAAATAGGGAACCTTCGCGTACAGGGACAGCATACCTGCAACTACCCGGTGTTGTGGTCAAACTGCGAGCAAGGACTGTTGCCTTCATGTCTTGCTTGTGGTCTTCTTGAGAGCACCTGGGTGGCCACTGTTGGAGAGAGGATGCTGGCCTCAGTGGCCCGTCTGATTCCTGAGGTGGCTCTTGTGTCCCTAATTACTGTTCTGAACCCAGGTATGTACATTGGTGAAGGGAGCCACCAAAGGAATTAGATGTTTGAGGGAAGTAAAGTGGTACCTTATGGGGAAAACAGACTATGTGCCGTGATTTATGACAATAATATTTTTCTTTGTATGGTAGCATTCTCGAGATAATTTAATAGATATTAGTTATTTGTTCTTTGACACTCTCTAAAGTGTGCCAGCCAGATTTCAGTTTGTGCACAAGGAGCTATCCCCCCCCTTTCTTCTAGCATGTGCTGAAGGGGGGGGGGTTCTGTAAGCAGTGAATTACAAGTGAAGGAAGTGGGGACTGAGTGGTTTAAGAGTGCATGTGGTTTAAGAAGGATATATCCTTCAGATGCCAAATATTTCGTCCCTCTTCTCTGATACTACAGTTCCCCTGAAATGTGTGGATCTTTGTCCTTTATGAATCAACATGTTTGCATGCCAACCACTAAGTTATTTTACTGCACTGTTAATATTACCGGCTTAGTAAGTTCTTATAAAAACTTGCATATGTGTGTCCTAAATTGGTGCTTTGTTTAATGTCAGAGTTGAATATAATACAGCTTGTTTTGGATGCAGGTTTATTTTCAGTCTTTTTTGTGTGTGAGACCACTATATGATAAAGTAGCTGTATGTTTATCCCTGAGGTGCCAGCACTGTATTATTAAACACCTAAACACCTGCTATTTTAAAATTTGGTCACTCCTGTCCTATTTTTCAAGTTCGTATCCTGCCCTTAGTCATGGAACATGTGTAGCAGACTTGGTTATCCTTACGAACAGCCTTCTGAGAGCGATTACATTGAATTGTCATACCAAGGCCAGATGGTGAATGTCAGAGTTGAGAGAGCATTTTAAATGAGGATTCTTGGAGGAGTGTAGTACGTATGACATGCAGAGACATTGTATGAGTAGTATCTGATCTGAGCAAGCATCAAACTAGGTTACTCTTAATAGCCCTTCTTCCAGCCCTGGAGCTCCATGAATAGAACCATAAATCGGCTCCCTGCTTAGGCTTTAAGAGATCTTTGTTATAATGGCATTATAGTAAATAGTGGTTTGGAATTACAACATGAGTGGAAAGCACATGGGGTCACTGATTTCTACATTTGTATCTTGCCCTTCCTCTAAGGAAGTCAGGGTGATGTACATTGTTCATTTATAGTTTGCCTTTCTCACTGGGACTCAAAGTGGATCACAAGTATGATTTTTTAAAAAAACTTTGTCTATCAATAAATGGATTACAAGACATGATAACATTTTAATCTAACCAGAAAGCTTCCTAATAAGATACAATAATGCAGTTGGGCTGGAGTTGTTGAAGAGATGAAAAAAGAAAACAAGAACATGGCATGCAACTATATCTGTTTAAGGCAACAAGACAATCAGTGTAGGAAAAGCTTTATCCTTAATAAAAGTCACTTCCTGAGCTGCAGTTTGCTCTTCACAACAACTGTGAGAGCTTAGTTAGGCTGAGTGAGAGAGACTAGTACATAGGCTACCAGTGAGTTTTGTAGTAGAGTGGGGATTTGAATCCAGTTGTCCCAGTGCCTTGTCGGACACTATGCTCACTCTCACTGGACTTTTCCTGTTCTGTCCCTCCTACTTTCTTTCTGTTCAAGGGTCTAGTGTTTTGTGTGTGTGTGTAAAGTGTCATCAAGTCACAGGCAACTTATAGTGACCCCTGTAGGGCAGGGATGTCAAACCTACGCCCTGTGGGCCAGAGCTGGCCTGCCCTGGGCTGTGATCCAGCCTGCGAGTGGGGCTCTCTTCTCTTCGCTCCCTCCCCTGACTGTACTCACCCTTCTGAAGAGCTCAAGCTGCCTCTGAGTGCAGGGAGCAGAGGGCGGGGCTGCCTCTGGTTGCAGGGGCCGCTGAACTTCCCAACTTGCTCAGCCTTTCAGTGAGCTCCGCCTCCCAACCACTGCTCCTGGCCTCCATCCTCCTCCTCACAGGTAGGGGCCACGGGGTGTCCTTCCTCTGTGATCCCTTGTGCTTCTTGATGTTTTATTTTAAAAATTTGTACATTGTTGTAACTGATCTTGTGCTGGTCACGAACCGTAAGAATAAATTTGATTTGATTTTAAAAATTGTACTGCCAAATCCCAGTATTCCCCCACCTTTCCATTTTAGGCAGACAACTTTTAAAAGCGGGGAGAAGTTTTGGGGACAACCACAGTTAAAATATAGAGTTCTACAAACTTGAGGAACTCCAGTTTTGCAGAAAAATATTTTAACACCCCCCCTCCTAATGTGGGGCTCCAGTGGAATATCTCTGCTACCTGGGCATTACATTTTACGACACACATGGCCTGGCCTGACCAAAGTCCCATTTATGTCAGATCCGGCTCTCATAACAAATAAGTTCGACACCCTTGCCCCCATAGGGTTTTCAGGGGAAGAGACTTTCAGAGGTGGTTTGCCATTGCCTGCCTCTGGTTAGCAACCCTGGACTTCCTTGGTGGTCTCCCATCGAAGTACAACCCCGGGCAGACCCTCCATAGCTTCTGAGATCTGAGGAGATCAGGCTTGCCTGGACCACCCAGATCAAGGTGATCTAGTTGTAGCTGCAGTAATAAAGCTAAGTTTATGTGAAATTATACAAGACAGCGCTTGAGACAGTCTGCTAGTTTGAGTTCCTTTGGAGGGAGGACATGATGCAAAGGAAATATATATTTCTAGGCTCTTAAAAATATTAACAGTTACAGCTCTGCTTTCTGTTGATTAAAAAACCTTTTTAAAAAGTCTATAAATATTTTCAGTAAGTCTACATCCAGAACTATATTATGGTTTCTAATGCAAGAAAACTTTTAAATTGGACTACTTGTGATTGCGTAATGACACAAAAGTAATTTGGTGTCACAGCCCGGCATCTTCCTACACACATCCTTTCTGTCAAGGCATTATGCACACCCCATTCCTATGAGTACCCGAGACTTGAAAAATGTACTCAAAATTGCAAGGCAGGAGTTGTAACATAGCATTATGAAAATTCCATTGTAGTTGGGTACAAAGCAAGCCCTGTGTAGATAGTGTAGGGACATTTTGTAATGAATTGTTAAAAAATGCTCTGCTATTTCATGCTGGACTTACCATGGGGCTTGTCACTGGCAGTCCAAGGACTCCCTCCAGCCTACAGGGGACTCCCTTCTGTCCTCTAATGGATAGCTGAGGAGCAGGCAAGGATGTCTCTTAAAGCCAGAGGTGCGTCTCACACTTAGTGTAGAGCCGGGGGTGCAGAGGTGTTATGGAATCATTTCCTTGGGTTTTGGAGGGTCTGGCAAAAGGACAGAATAAAATAACAGTTCTGCTAATGGCTTTGCTGCTGTTTCCACTGAATAGAAATGTGTGTGTTTAAAATACGTGTGACACCAGGTACTTCTGTATTTTATATACTATGGCAAGTATATCATTAACATGCCTGTCAGTGAGAAATTTAACTGATCTTCACCAAGAAGAATAATGATTGATATTCAGGTTGCACGTTATTCCATAGCATGTCCATAGATAGTATCTTTCTATCATTAAGGAGTCATCACTGAGTAGGAGAGAGACTCCTGCAAGTGGAAAAGGTCTTCCTGTCCAGTTTATCTAGAAGACCCAGTGATATTTTTTCTTTCTTTTGGGGGGCGTATTTTTGCATTGTGAATGTGTGCATGTGTCCATGCTTGGAAGTCATGGCGACCTCTGGTGACTCCTACTAGGGCATGGAGGACATTCAGAGAAGTGGCTTAATAGCCTGCCTCTGGCCTCCCTACCCTGGTGTGCTCTGGAGGTCTCCTGTCCAAATACTTGCCAGGGTAAGCCCTGCTTAGCTTCCAGGATCTGACAAGATAGGGCTTGCCTGGGCTATCCAGGGCAGGGCGTGATTTTTTCCCCCAAACTCACAAGGGCTCTGTCTGTGTTAAGTGCCATCAAGTTGCTGCCTACTTTTGGTGACCCCTGTGTATTAATGTCCTTCAGAATGTCCTATTGTTAACAGCCTTGCTCAGATCTTACAAACTGGGGCAAAGCTTCCTTCATTCCACCTCATGTTGGTTCTTCCTCTTTTCCTGCTGCCTTCAGCTTTCCCTAGCTTTCCCAGCGACTCTTGTCTTCTCATAATGTGACCAAAATACGATAGCGTCCGTTCAGTCATTTCAGGTTCTAGGGAGAGTTCAGGCTTGATCTGATCTAGAACCTACTTATTGTCTTTTTGGTGGTCCACGGTATCAGTAAAACTCTCCTCCCAGGAAGTATTGGTAGTCCAGAATGCAACCAAAGAAGTTATTTGGACAGGTATTCAGATGCAGAGTGTGGGTGTGGAGTTCTGCTGCAGCTTGCTGAAATTGCAGGAACCCTTGTGCAATGTGTGTGTTTCACAGCCTTGAGAGATGTTTGAATGTTAAATATTTCAGTTGGGAAAAATTGAGTTCTTGAAGAAATCACAGAGTCTTTGAAATATGTCCGTTTTAGTGTCAGAAAATCTTTCTCAAGTCTGGGCAATTACACAGAAGCAATATATTTGAAACGAGCATTAGTATTTCTCTGGTTAACAGATTTGGTCTTTGAACAATTAAACTGTGATATCTCAACACTAATTGCTGATTTGGGTTTTTTTTGTGCTTCATTTTCTGTTCATCAGCAAGAAGGCTCACTATGTGCCCAGCACTGTCTGAATAATTTGCTACAGGGGGAATATTTTAGTCCTGTGGAGTTGTCTTCTATTGCACAACAACTAGATGAAGAAGAGAGGATAAGGATGGCCGAGGGAGGACTCTCCAGTGAAGAATATAGGACATTTTTACAGGTAACAGGATTTTAAAGCTATTCATGTTGTCAGACATAAGAAATGTCTCCTCTTTGGTTCTTATATTTTCTGAATGCAAATTGCTGTATAAAAGTTGATGGCTGGGGGAACAGAGAATTCTGTCCCACTCATTGCAAACTAGTGTTTGCAAAATGGAGACTTTTTGGTGCAGCACAGAGGGGGAAGCATAGACACAGAAGCCTTTTGCCCTGAATTAGTAATTGTTGGTCACAGCTGTACCCTCGGGGGGCTTGTCTTAGGATCTGCCTAGGTGCCAACACCTACTCTATATGCTGACACACACACCCCTTTAGGTGCTACTGAGTGCTATCACCTTGATTTCTCTCATTGTAATCCATTCTGATCCACACTTCCAGAATGCCCACAGGTTATATAGGGAACAGGAAAGCAATTGCTCAGCTACGTCTCCAGAGAAGTGTGCCATGCCTGGCTGAAGAAGCTTGATATACTTTAAATAAACAGAGCATTATTTTTCTCTGCATAGCAAGCCCTTATCTATTGATTGCCATTAACAACTCAACTAATTTGTTTGTACAAGCCATCATTTGAAAAACCAGTAGATTATACTTGTTGGCTTAACAACCACTGCTTATTTACCTTTACATTTAATTTCCCCAGTTGTCTTTGGGCCTTAGCTTCTGAACTCAAGGATGTCTAGTCCCTTTGTGACATCAGGGCAGCTAAGCCAATGGTAAACAGATCTGCTTGCATACCTCCCACACCAAGCCTTGCTGTGATATCAGAGCAGATCAACAGCTTGTCACTGCTCTGTGGCTCTTAGTGGGCCAGTTCAGTTGCATCCTCTTTCCTCTCTGCACGTGTTGTAATTCCTTCCTTCCTGTGTTGAAGCAATCAGTAGTAGTTTGTTGTTACATCCAAGTTGTTGAACTATAGTTTGTGCTTAACCTCCAAATTCATATTGGAAGCTATGATCAAACCAGGGTTTGGAGGGCCAAGTGCAAACTGATTTGGATGTAGTGATGTAGTGTGAAAAGGAAGGAATTGGAGCTCACTGAGGGAGGACAGAGTGCACTAATTTGAGGCTTGCTCACATTAACCAAGCTGTGACTTGCTGTTGCTCGTGAACCAAGCCAGGGAGGTGTGAAGCTGCCTATTGGTTATGTATGATACAGCAGCCTTGCTGAAACTGGCTCTGTTCGGTGCCTGAATGGATGACTGCCTGGGAACCCTTTGCACACAATTTTTAGTTCCATGAAGGAAGAAAGATGGGATCTAACATACAGTAAATAAAATGGAAAAGCAGCCCTTTAAGCGCCAATAAGCTTTTAAAACAAAAAGTACTAATTTTGTCTTTAAAACAAAAAGTGCTGCAGCCATTTCACTTTCTCAAAAATATTTGCATCCCTTTATTTTTTAAAAAAGTGCTTTCACAATACCTGGAGATCTTGCATCACTAATAAGGTCTCATCCTCTGAGAAATGTGTTCTCTAACATTTGGGTATGGAGGCTGGCACAACATGTTGCCATATTGTATTTATTTTAATGTTCCTGGTATCAGCTTTTTGACTTAAGGATTGTTTACTTTTTCAAGGGACGTACCAGGTTCTGAGTGGTAGTAATGATGACTTTCCTTGGAAGGAAGGGTGTTTCCTTGGAAGGGTGTTTCTTCTGTCAGCTGCTTGTATATCTAATTTATAATTAACATTTCCCAAACAACAGGATCGTTGATGGTAATTACTACAGTAACTGCTGTATAGTTACCTAAAATGGAGGAAGGAGAAATGTTGAGGCCTTATATGATTCTTAAGAGAACAATATTACCAAATGTGTTCCTTGGCTACATACTGTATTTGTAGTTGTAGGAATGCTATTGTGACTCATTGGAAGAAAGCAATCCAGGAGCAATCCAAAACAGTCCAGTAAGGGGAGATAACATGGCTCAGAGGCTTTGCACGGAGGTCCCCTGGCATCTCTAGTTGATCGTATCAGGTAGAATGTATTGTGAAATCCCCAACCTGAGTCCTTGGAGAGCCACTCAGAGGTTAATAGGGGCCTGGCCTTGATTTAGCAATGGGTAAGTAGTACAGGGCAGCGTATTGCATGTTTCCAACTTTAAGAGTTATTTCATTAAAAGGTTGTTGGAGTAGGTAAAATGTGTTAAGAGAAGACATGCCACATTCTGCTTTTGAATTCTTATAAACCTTTTTAGTAATATTGATAATCAGCTGTTTTTGTTTTTCATCCTGTGTTGAATAGCAGCCTTCTGGAAATATGGATGACAGCGGTTTCTTCTCTATTCAAGTAAGTATGTCCCTGAATTATCAGTTATGTTGAAGAATTCATTGCAAAGTTAAATGTAAATGTGTAATGAATTTTAGTTGGTGTCGATACAAGCCATTCAGATTTTAGAAGGAACTGTGGTAAATATAGATGTTTTAAAATATATTTTACATTACAAAAACTTACAGAGAACAAATATTTATATAGCAACTACATGGCCCACAGTTTTAAGCCCCCCAAACAGTTTGTATAGAAGTGTCAGTGTAATTGAATTACAAGAAATAGGATGTTTATATCTCTTTTTCGAAGTGATCAAAATAGCAAGGTGTTGAATGTTTCCCTTTTTTTAAACTGAAAATGCAGTTGTGTGAATCCATTTTGTTTGGGCTGATGCAGGGGAAATTTGTATTACGTTTTGTCCTTGGTAAATAGACTAGGAATAGGATTAAGCCCTTACACTTAATCTTTGTTTTTTGGTTTGCTGCAGTCAGAAAATTATAATTTTTAGTGAAAGCTTCACATTTTATATGGCCAACAGATTGGTTGTGTGTACACTGGTGTTATGCTGACACGCAAAAGTGCAGACAGCAAGGGTGTATTGCTCGGGAAATCCAGTATTGTATTACATCTTGTTGCTGTTGTTAGTTGGCTTGTCATTGTACAAGAATGAGAGGCAACATATTCGTTTAATAAGTGAATAGCTATAGCCATGGTCTCCACATACACATACCAATGCACATTTGACTGTGATGAACGCCAGAGTGCAAGCAGCAAACTGCAGAGCTGCCCTTTTTTGTAAATTACTATACCGTGCAATCCTTACACCCTCCTAAACCCATTGACCTCTGTGGGCTAAGAAGGATGTAACTCTGCTTAAGAATGCACTGGGAGAGATTCTTAGAACTGCTGATTTTGACATGTAACATATAGTTCCACTTTCTTGTAAATGGCTTTATGCTCATGTGTCAGTGTGTCTGCCTGAGATGAAGCTGAATTATATCTTTAAACAGCATGCCAAGAAGTTTATACTTCAGATTAGAAATATAATATCCCAGTTGTCCAAAAATATGCAGAAATTCCTTAGGAGCACAGAACTCCCACCAAGCCTCACTAGTTCTTTGGTACAGCACGTGTCTTGTGCAAATATTACCTGACCATGATTAGCACTTGTCTCTCTCCAGTGGCATGTTAGGAAAAAGGTGACTCTCAGTCTTGTGCTAAAATCTTTTGTGTTCATAAATGATATAATCTAGCAAATAGCTCCTCATTACCTTATCAGCTTGCAGTTCAGGCATTCAGAATAAGGTTGATGTTTTGAAGGCAAACTGATCATTGTACAGTTGCTTATAACATCAATTCAGGAGTTACATGTGCCTTTTGAGAATTTCTTGGTCAAATTGTGTATTTGTTATCCACCCTTAAATGTGTTTCTGTATGTGGTCTGCTGAATGTAGATTCATGAAGGTTTGATTTTCTGCCTCCCATTGGTTTCCCCTTAATGAAAGTTATAGTCTTTCCCCCCCCCAGTCCCAGCTTTGTGAAAGCAGTATTTGTTCTGGTTTTTTTATAGTAGCTAAAATGGTTGCATTGCTTAAATTTATAACTGACTGGTTTGTCTCATGAAAAGTGCTGTTTTTTGACAGGTTATAAGCAATGCCTTGAAAGTTTGGGGTTTAGAACTAATCCTCTTCAACAGCCCAGAGTATCAGAGGCTCGGGATCGACCCTATGTAAGACTTTCTTTTTAGCTCCCTGCTTCCATTATACAAAACAAAATAATGCAAGAGAGTGAAAAAGACCCTGTCATTTTCGTCAAAGTACCTGTTCAAAATTTACTATCTCAAGTTCTGGTTTTATCCCCTCAGCCTTTTCCTTTTCTTACTATTGAGGCCATACATGTCTGTTTGTCCTCTGAGCCTTCATGACATCTCAGTATCTGTGGCATCACAGAATGCTGATTTTGAATGGTATGTGACATCATATCTGCTTTATGACATCACCGTTTGTGTCTGTACTTATAAAGCATCTCTAGCAATAAATATATTACCAGTGAGTTCTGTCGGAATACTCTTAACCGTCACAATAGATTAAATGATCCAATACTCCATATTTAATCATAGCTGTATTTATTGAAATGGCTTTTAAAATAATGGTGACAGTAGTGATAGCAAAAACTAAAACCTTTCCAAATGAAATCTAGGATTTAATTCTGTGCATCATTTGTTTGTTTTTCTTTCAGAAATGAAAGATCTTTTATTTGTAACTATAAGGAACACTGGTTTACAGTTCGAAAGTTAGGAAAACAGGTGACATTGTCTTATTTTTCTCCTTGTTTAAAACTTGACCAAGCTTGGGAATGAGGAGCACATCGCCTTTGGGATCAGTGGGTGTTAGGGTCTGGTTTGGATCCTGTCAAATTTCCACTGAAGGATTTCCGTCCGTGAAGCATGACTTCTTTGCTTCCCATTATAGATCAAAATGCCTTCTGAGAGGCTGTTCCTGGACAATAGAATCCCTGGGAGCAGTGTTTGGAGAGGGGAAGGTTCAGAGGTCTGCTGTAGGAGGGAATTGGCAAAAATTGTCCCCCTCCCCATCTGCCGAAGTGATCAGTGAGATCCAGTCCTACATATGGGACTCTAGTTTCAGACCATTGATAGCTGCTTACAAGCAGATTTGACATACATAATGCTGGAGAGGGGGCCAATTTCTAGAACACAACTCCAAGGGTTATGCAGTCTGGACAACTTAAAAATGTGCTCCACATCTCCTCAGTGAGGGATGTCCGATGGGATGGATTTCAAGAGTGAACAGGTTGGTCCTTTTGAGCTCCTAGTTTAGGTTGGGCAATGAAATTTTAATGTCAGAATTAACATCTACTTCTGGATTGGGCTTTATCATGGCAATCTGAAAATGCTACATCTTTCAACTATTAAGAGCAAATACGAATCCAGACAGCTTGTGATCTATCAGGTTTTTTTTCTTTTTACATTATAAATAAACAGGTTGCTTACCTGTAACTGGTGATCTTCGAGTGGTTATCTGTGCATTCACACCCATGGGATCTAGTGCGCACACGCTGGATCGATCGGTGCTGTAGCAAGCTCTTTTGACGGATTTTCGCGCCCAGTCCCTCGAGCATGCGCAGGGACCCCACCGCACATGCCCAGAGGGGTGGGCGCGGACATCCCGCCAGTTCCTTCAAACCGCCGCAAATCAACCCCTATGGAAAATGTAGAAGCTGACAGCAGCGGGGAAGGCGGGCGGGTGGTGTGAATGCACAGATGACCACTCGAAGATCACCAGTTACAGGTAAGCAACCTGTCCCATGCTGGTATTGGTGTTCGTACGGACGTCTATGGCGTAGTGCCTGATGAAGGTGTTAGGCGTGGCCCACGTAGCGGCTTTGCAAATTCCGTCAGTGGCACTCCCTGGAGGAAGGCAGTGGAAGTTGTGACAGTCTTTGTAGAATGAGCCCTGATAGGGCCAGGCAATGGCTGTTTGGCGATCAGGTAACATAGACAGATGAGACCCACAATCCACTTTGACAGGCGCTGAGCCGTGATGCGAGTGCCCAGCTGTGCTGACGCGTAAGAGACAAACAGTTGCGAGTCTCGTCTAGTTGGGTGTGTTCTAGTGAGGTAGAACAGGAGAGCCTGCTTCACATCTAAAGTGTGTAATAGTTTGTCTTCTGGTGATGTTGGATTTGGGAAAAATTTAGGGAGGAAGACCTCTGCCTGCAGGTGGAACTCCACCTTCGGCAGGAAGGAGATGTCCGGGACGAGGTGGACTCCGTCCGGCAAAAACGACAGGTAAGGTGTATCGTGCCGGAAAGCCAATATTTCTCCCACTCGTCTAGCCGATGTGACAGCAATTAAAAAGGCCGTTTTCCATGCTAGAAGTTTGAGGTTGCATGTTGCAAGCGGCTCAAAGGGCTTCCTCGTGAGCTGGCGGAGAACTAGAGGAAGGTCCCAGGGAGTGACTGGAGTTTTGACAGGAGGATAGAGATGCAATAAACCTTTTAAAAAACGTTTTGAAATCGGATGGGAAAACAAAGTGCATCCATCAACTGGAACGGTAGGCTGAAAGAGCGGCCAAATAAACTCTCAATGATGAATGGGAAAGTCCCAAGTCAGCTAGGGAGAGGAGGAATGGGAAAACTCTTTCGAGACCCACTGAGGTGGCTCGAGGGGCGTCATCACCTAGGGAAGAACAGAACCTTCGCCATTTATAATTGTAGGACGTCGGCACAATAGGTTTCCTGGAATTCAAGAGAATGTTCGCTACGCGGGTGGAGAAGTCGGTGTTATTCTCCATGCTGTCAGTTTCGATTGTGGTATGTCGTGATGTAGGAGGGGGGAGTCGGAGAGGAGGAGGAGGTCCTGAGCCGGAGGGAATTGATGGTATATCCCTTCTGATAACTCGAGGACTGTTGAAAACCAAGGTTGTCTCGGCCACCATGGGGTTATTAAGATGCAGTCTGCGGTGTCTCTGAGTATTTTGCGGACCACTCTCGGAAGTAGAGGTAAGGGAGGGAACAGGTAAAGAAGTCCCGTGGACCAAGGGTAAAGGAGACCGTCTCCCAGAGATTGTGGGTCCCTGCCTCCTCGACTTTTTGTTGTTTTTGGTGGCAAAGACTTGGGAAGAGTGGGAGGAGAGGTATGTTGGGTTCATCTCCCATTCGTGAAGGCTGAGTCCTGCTTAACTTAGATGGTCTGCCACTTTCATGTGTCCGGGAATGTGAGTGACTGCGAGGAAAATGTTGTTGGCAATGCAAAGCTCCCACAACTGGATGGCAAGGTTGCAGAGGCGTAGGGAAACAGTGCCTCCCTGTCTGTTGACATAAGATAGCACCGTGATGTTGTCCGTGAGGACCGTGACACATTTCCCCTTGATTAAAGGTAGGAAGCTGGTGACAGCGTGTTGTATAGCCAGGAGTTCTAGGATGTTTGTGTCGCTTCCTCATCTCCGCGTCCCATTTGTCCCCAACGGAAAGGCCCATGGAGTGTGCACCCCATCCTGTCAGGGAAGCATCCATCATTATGGTGACGGAGGGTGGAAGGGTGCTCCCTGGAGGATATTCGAAGGGACAGTCCACCAAAGTAACGAGTCCCATATGCTGGGAAGAGGGGATAGAAGGACGATGTGTGTGTGATTCGACAGACTGTAGTCGCGGATAAACCAGAGCTGTAAAGGACACATTTTGAGTCTGGCAGAGACGAGAACCGACGTAGTTGCAGCCATCAAGCCAAGCAGCCTCTGAATTTGGAAGGCAGTGACGGAGGGTTGGGTACGGATGACGGTGGCTAAGGAAATTATATTTGCTGCCCTGTCGTGGGGCAGGTAAGCCATGCATGTCTTGGAATCCAGTATAGCACCAATGTACTGTATTCTCTGGACCAGACGCAATTGAGCTGTATACTGGTAATGCTGTTGACCAATCGCAAAGCGTAGGTATTGGCGGTGGGAGGGGTGGATGGTAAGGTGGAAGTACGCATCTTGGAGGTCGAGGGTAGCCATCCAGACATGTCTCTGAAACAATGGCATGATCTGTTGTAGGGACACCATGCGAAAGCGGTATTAGGTCACAAAACGGTTCATTTCCCTTAGATCTAATATGGGTCGAATGCCTCCATCCCACTTCAGAACTGTAAGAACATAAGAACATAAGAGATGGCAATGTTGGATCAGGCCAAAGGCCCATCCAGTCCAACACTCTGTATCACACAGTGGCCAGAAATACCAATGCCATCAGGAGGTCCACCAGTGGGGCCAGGACATTAGAAGCCCTCCCACTGTTGACCCCCCCCAAGCACCAAGATGACAGATCACTTGCCCCAGAGTCCCTATCTATACCTTGTGGCTAATAGCCACTGATGGACCTCTGCTCCATATGCTTATCTAATTCCCTTTGAAGCCATCCATGCTTAGCCGCCACCACTTCCTGTGGCAGTGAAGTATCGGGAATAAAAACCCCGTCCCGTGGAGGTGTGGTGGTACATGATCGATGGCTCCCTTCTGCAGAAGGACGGACACCTCGAGGAGAGGTGGGGAAGGGGGCGTGGAGACGACGACAGGAGTATTGGGGTTCTGGTGGAACTGGATTTGGTAACCTTGGGTCAAGATGGACAGCACCCACTCGTCCAAGGTGATGTGACGCCAAGTTTGAAGAAAAGGTGACAGACGGGTTTGAGCTGACTTGGTGACTGGGAAGTCAAAAACCCTGCTTGGAGGGTTTGGTCTGTTTGGTGCAGGAAGATTGTTGCCCGGAACCGAATCTTGGTTTCTGGAAGGCAGATTTTTGGCCTCCCGAAGATGTTCGCAGTCTCCATTGTGTGTCCGGAGACTGATGACTTGGTGTACGCCTCTGCCAGGATCTTGACCAGGTGCGGGGACGGTACAGTTGCCTCGCAGAGGACGACACTCCTAGAGCTCGAGAAGCTTTTTATGCTTTTATCTAATTTTTGTAAAGTAGAATCAGTAGTGGCATTGAAAAGTCCCAGTCCATCAAATGGAAGGTCTTCCACATAAGATCTAGTATCCATGGGCAGATTAGTATTGCGGAGCCAAGAAAGTCTCCTAAGAGCTATTGCAGAGGCCATCGTTCTGGAGGATGCCTCAAGGACATGCTTAGTAGTGTTGAGCTGTTGTTTTGCCAACACCATGCCTTCCTTTTGGATGACTCTGGCTGCCTGGAGTTTGTCTTCTGGGAGGTGGGTCAGAAGTTCGGAGAACCGTTCCCAGAGAGTATATTGATACCTATTCATGCAGGCCAGGTAGTTAGTGGCCTTGACTCCAAATGCTCCTGTGGAGTAGAAGCGTCTGCCAAAGGCATCCAATTTCTTACCTTCCTTGTCAGAAGGTGCGGAGTGTGTCCTCTTGGATTTAGAGGAAGATGTTATCACCATCGAATTTGGCTGAGGGTGCAAAAATAGGAATTCGGCATCTGCCTCTTGGACCCTAGACATGTGGTCCAGTCGTCTCGTGGACACTGGGGCTGACGAGGGTTTTAGCCATGGTGCCTTTGCTGCCTGCAAAAGGACTGAAGACATGGGCAGTGCCAAGGTGGAAGAGGTATCAAGCTGGACTATATCAAAAACGGCATCTGTTGCCTGCGGATGTTGCTGGACGACAGAGAGGCCTAAAGAGTGAGCCATTCTTTTGACTAAATCTGTGTATGACGTAAGGTTGTTGGATGGGGATATGGGTAGGTCGTCAGCGACAACCTGGTTGGGAGATTTATGGTCAGGAGAGGTACGAGCCTTAGATGCTTCCGTATCCGAGTCTTCTTCCATGGAGTCAGAGGAGTCTTGGTGTGGTATATGGACCGAAGTGTCCTCTTGACAAGCTATAGGTTTTGGTGGAACGACAGGGTTTGGAGTGACCTTATGGTTGGGAGGAC